GAGGAGTAGTAGATATATATATATTTGATAGCTAATTTAGTTCAATTGAATTTTTCCATTTTAATTTAGAAGTAGAAATTGAAATATCAATAATTTCAAAAAATGGTCACTTGAATTTTAGATTACAGATCCCAGCGAAAGCAATGACTTTACAAATTTTAGCTACATAAGGGTCATTTAATACACTAACAAATCAAGTGATTAATAATATACTCTATTTGCATAAGACTAGTTTATAGTAGAAATTTACGAGTGTACCCCTACATCCTTAAAATAATAAAATAAGCATGGGCATTCAGAATGCTGATTTTTTTCTCAGTATACACAGTTCAGAACACAGCGCTATACATGTACACTCAAGCCAGACTTTCATCTATTCCTCAATTTACGTGATTTTCGACGGAATGTAAAGATGGGTCAAAATTAAAAGAACAGTCATTAGTCACTGTAAAAACCTGCTTCTACCAAAAAGGTTGAAGCACAGAAAAAAAACTCTACAAATCACTAAAAATAATTTCACTGCTATTTTCACAGTGAGAAACTTCACTGTAACAAATTTGCACTGATGAACGTTAAATCTGTTGAGTCGCAAAAGTCCTCCATGTTCCCATAAAAAATCAATACCTCTGGGGGTACTGGATTGAAGATCGATCATTCTCTGATTCAGGTCAAAATTACGATCTGTGGATGAATGTATGAATGGGTCCGCCCTATACACGGGTGTTACGTACGGTGTGGCAGAAGTCGAATTCTTAGCCATAGATGGCGCCACTGAAAAACGTACTTTTAATCTGCTCGGATTCACCAAGCAGGCTTGTCCGTGTGGCAAGTGGCATTGGAACCAACCAACCACTACTATTGTCGCTGTTTCAAATAACACAGACATTATTTCTACTCTGAGAAATCACAGTGAAAAGACTTGTTGATTTTCTGTGACAACCTGTTGCTGCTCTATACCACCGTTCAGGAAGCACTTTCTTTGCTTCACTGTGATGAATGTTGCTGATATTTTTTACAGGAAATCATAACGGAGACCAGTCACTGCTTGAGTTTGAAAAAAAAAATCATAATTTTTGTTTCGATCATTTGTATAATTTGATGTTTGATAAAATTGTTAAATAATGAAGAATCATCAAAATAATCTTAATACAATATTTTTTCATTATACTATATACTATAGTAACTTTTAGTGAATATTGGAAAGAAAATTATATCATTTCCAAAATTCAGTAAATAAATGTGTGCAATTAGTTTATTGCTGTATTCGTCTTTTCATAACTTTATCTCAATTAAAATACCTCAACCGGGTGAGAAGGATTTATATCATCTTCTTTAAAATATCTTAATTTTTGTTTCATTTAGGAAATGCAAAAATCGTAATAAGGATAATGAACGATATCAATAAATATCAATACCGAAAATAAAATGAGGTCCTTTAAATACAACTAACTGAATTAATTTGTGCATTATATCAATAAATGTAAAATAAGACGATAGATGGCGCTGATACATTTCTTCTAAAGCATTTTTTTTTTTATAAAGAATCATTTATATATTGAAGGTTTATTACACGTAGGTCTTTTAAAGAGGCGAATTTTGATGGCTTTATTTTCAAAGAGTAAACATTTAACAAAATTAATTTTCATTAACTGGCTTGAATTAAACTAATGGTGTTTAAAATTTTTTAAACTTTATTTAAACTACATTGGAGAACTGTTTATGCAAATGATTGCTTTAGGAAAACTCTGTTAAACTTTTTTGGTCCAATGCAATCAGTCTAGCAACACTAATTCAAAATATATTTCAAGCCAGTAGAAATGTAAAAATAACTATTTTTAAGTGCTTAGCAGCAACTATTCTATAAACAACAAGGAGCGAAAGAATGGCATTTAGTATAAAGTTAACATCAACATTTTAACCAGAATGAGTAAAAATAAATGTACAACTCACAAAACCACAGTATTGAAAGAAGTTGAACAGCTCGCTCTGGCAGATGGCCAGTAATATAAAGAGTAATAATTCAATCAACATAAACCTAGATGACCCAACTGCCCGCGTTTATCTAGATATGAATAAAGTTAGCATCTTCGCCGATCTGCTCGAAAATAAAAATTACACCTAACAGGCAGTCAAACGATCCATGAAAAGTTCTTTTTCTATCGATATAATTAAATCCTCCGAGACATCTAACGTCAGAAACCATTAAAAAATCAAATATTGAAGATATTTATAAATTATTTGTAGACTAAAAAACAACAAAGCTCCAGATAAAGACCACATAAATAATAAACTGTTAAAATATTTACACAGTAAAGGATTAAGCAGCATGCAGCAACAACAAGGGATTAATGCCTGCCTCAAAATTAAACAGTTCCCTCATATATGGAAAGACTCAAGAGTAATTTCATTCCCGAAATCGAGGAGAAAACCTAGCAAAGCTGGAAATTTACCGGCCAATTAGTTTACTGCAGACTAAGAGCAACTGAGCAAAATTTTAGAGAATATCAATATACACTGGTTATCATAAATTAAGGAAAANAGTACAAGTCGTTTCTGCATTAAATTTCATTTGATTCTGATGATTCTTTCATGGTGTTGCATTTTCTACAAACAGCAGTTTATATGTATCAAGCCTTAGTCCATCTTCCACGCAATAATATGGGTCGCAGATCCAAACCTCGTTTTGAGTTCGATTCTTTATCTCATTTATATACGTGATTTACCTAGAAGCGTTAGCACTGATGAAAAAGCAGCATGGAACATTGACCATACAGCCTTTTTATATCAATCAAGAAAGCTGAATCCTGCTGTACAGAAACTGCAAGATAGTCTCACTAACATCGAAGACTGGTATGGCAATATGTAAATTAAAACTAAAGGCGACAAATCAAATTTTTTAATCGTAAGAAGATGTAAATCAGCAGTCCTGATAACTAAAAAAAAAATGTTTTAATTAAGAAATCTTACCAGTTAAACCAAATATCTCAGCATTATCATAAATTAAAAGCTAACTTAGCAGGAAACTGTTAGAAAAGCAAGAAACACCTCAATCTTTTTCCACTTCTAAATAGAAGACCAACGTTCAGTCTATATAACAAGAGGCTTCTGCATATGCTTTATATAAGAGCTGTAATGCCTTATGCATCACCTGCCTGGGCAAGTGCCAACCAAGCGTTTAATTTACATCACAGATACTACACAAATTGAAATTCTAAGACAAATAATTAATGCTCCAACATTTATAACCAATGAAGATATCCACGAAGATCTTTACATCGATAAAGCAAGTGATTTTATTCAAAAACTTAGAGCAAAATTCTATAAGAAGGTCCGCAATTGTGAAGCGGCAAACTTCAAACGGATACTGGACATTATACTCATTGATTTTAAGCAGCAAATTCGCGGAACTTAGTAAGCAATGATCCAAGCAATCCAGCCGAAGTTCGCGTCAGCTGGGGAAGCTGAGTACGTCAGCTTAATCACAACTTCCATCCTATGGATTTAATTTTATTTTATTTTACTTTTTTTTAAAAAATTTTATTCTTAATTTTGACATTATCTCAATCGCTTATTTTTACTTAATTCAGACTGAAATTATATTCGATGAAATAGCCAGTGCTGCGATAGCGGCAGGTGCCTTGTCGCATTTGAAACTAGGAACTAGTATGAAGGGTTTAAGGTTGCACTTGCCAGTATTCTGCCTGACTGAACTTTTCAATCGGAGTTTACTTTTTCGGAAAGGTAAATTATTTATCTTTTTTTTTTTTCTTCAGAAAAGTTTAAGAGTATAAATAGCGTAGGATCATATTAAGGGTAGGCGTTATTTTCTGATAAGACGAAGCAGAAAGTAACGCCTATTTTGAATCCTTGGAATGAAACTTTAAGTACATTGTTTTTACCAGTGAATAAATAAAGAGATATATATTATATTCATTTAATTTCTAGATGATTAGGAGATTAACCATCCCCAAATTACACAATTAAATAAATAATTGCCGACTGC